CTGTGAGAATTACTGTTCTATGCAGTAAGTCAAGGGTGTTAAATGTCTTATTCACATTTTTGTCACCCTGCTGTTGTTCTGGGTTGTGCTTATGTGAATGAGTAAAATACACTGATAAGATTCCAACTGTGGTTTGCAATATTTCCATTTTTAATCATTCTATTGGTTCATACCACTGATTAAAATTTTATTAATTTGTATATAGAAATATAAAACTTGTATTAAGATAACCTCTGGCAGCTAATGTGAATGCAAAAATATATGTAGGAATGAAGTGGTCCCTCTGGGATATGATTGTGAGTTTCAGCCCGTGTTTACACTCCACTGGAACTGTGGCCTTCTTACATTTCTTTTTAAATATTTTTAGTTATTTGGAAAGTTACAGTTACAGAGAGGAAGAGGCAGAGAGAGAACAGAGCTTTCATCAGCTGGCTCCCTTCCCAAATGGCCCAGACAGGGCTCAGGCAGGCCAAAGCAAGGAGCCTGGAGGAAATGTTGGGGACAGTTTCTCTCCAAGGGATTTCTTGTGAATGTTGGCTTTCTAGTGTAAATACCTGTGTAGGATGTTTATTGTTTCCACCAAGCTGCAGAGAAGGCCTCATCAAACCTGGTAACAGAGAGGACTTCCCGGCCGCCTCAGCACAGGGCCCAGTGGCCTCTGCACCCGGGCTCCATCTATGATGTCACTTCCACGTGACCTAAGGGTGATGCTTCCTTAGGGGCTCCATAGCCTGAACACAAGTCAGCAGACCCGGAATTGCGATGTCACCTCTGCATGGCTAAGAGCTTGAGCGTGAGACTCCTCAACTCTTACAGCATACACAGACCCAGGACAGAGGCGCTCTTACACAGAACACCTCCGAGAGGTCAGAGGGTACACAAGAGCGCCTCATGGGATGAAGGAGCAACAGCACAAGACCAGACAAGGACAGACCATGGTGGAGATGGGGGGCATGGTGAGGGATGGGGGCAGCGGCACTGTTCTGCTTCTGGATCTGGGTGCTGATACATGGGTGTCTACTGTGAAAATCCGTGGAGCAGGAGAAATTGCAGAGAATTTGCTGAACTTCAACATTCAAAACTACTTCTGAAGGAGAGGACGGCCGGTCACAAAACTGGAATTGGATTTGGTAATTCAAGGAAAAGACTATTTCAAACTGCACTGATCAAGGGATTGAAACCATGACGAGGGCAGAGGAGGATGTGGAGAGCCATCCAGGAGGCAGCCACAACTGCTTGGGACCAGACAAATTCTGGAGTGGAGAGGGAATGGTGGAGGACAGAGCATTTTCTTAGTCACATAATATAGTGACCACAGCACTGATAACAACAGCTAATAAATCCAGTCCTAAGTGTACAGAGTTTGGACTACCTACTCCAACAGTCAAATGGAGAATAACCTACACAAATTCATTATAATGTCAATCAGTGCTCTCTAAATAAGTCTACCAAAGATCAAGAGAATTACCCAGTTGGAAGAGTAAGGTGGGAATCATTTTACTGAACAAACAGAGGCTCAGAAACCACTAAGACCTCTGAAGCTTCCCAGTAGTTTGCACATCTTCAACTCGAAATCCTTCAACTCCAGATGTTTTACTAGTATCAACATTATACAGAAGTTAAAACGTCAATTTTCTCAGTATGTGACAATTCCCTTAAGCACTTGGTGAAGTGATTGTCATCTAACTTTAGCAGATTAGACGCATGTTTATACTACCTCAATAGGATATTTTTTTTATTTGAAAGACAGAGTTACAAAGAGAGGTAGAGACAGAGAGAGAGGTCTTCCATCCGCTGGTTCCCTCCCCAAATGGCCGCAACGGCTGGAGCTGTGCTGATCCGGAGCCAGGAGCCAGGAGCTTCTTCTAGGCCTCCCACAGGGGTGCAGGGGCCAATGCCATGGGTCATCTTCCACTGCTTTCCCAGGCCACAGCAGAGAGCTGGATCAGAAGAGGAGAAGCCAGGACAAGAACCGGCACCCATATGTGATGCTGGTGCTTCGGGCCAGGGCTTTAACCCACTGCGCCACAGTGCAGGCCCCAGGATAATTTTATTTATTTATTTATTTATTTATTTATTTATTTGATAGAGTTAGACAGTGAGAGAGACAGATAGAAAAGTCTTCCTTTCATTGGCTCACCCCCCAAATGGCTGCAACTGTCGGCACTGTGCTGATCCAACCAGGATCCAGGTTGTTCTTCATGGTCTCCTATGTGTGTATAGGAGCCCAAGCACTTGGGCCACTCTCCACTGCCCTCCTGGTCTACAGCAGAGAGCTGCACTGGAAGAGGAGCAATCGGGACTAGAACTTGGCACCCATATGGGATGCCAGCGCTGCAGGTGGAGGATTAGCCAATTGAGCCATGGCAACAGCCCAGGATATTTTAATTTCTATAATAAAATGTGCTTTCTGAATGCTTTCTCCTACATTATACCATGGAGTAAAATAAAGGAAAAAGGGAAGGGTAAGGTTAACATTATGAAGATATGTGTAAGATCAACCACAGCTGTAACAGAGGGAAAAAATGGTTAAATTTCCTATAACAGAGCAAAAAGTAATCTTAGCATTACGTGATAAAAGATCTACAAAGTCAATGCTAACATACAATGATTATGTATTGAAAATCCTTGATTTGAATTGGATATGAGAATAAACATCTTTTGTCCACTTTATTCATCACAAGTTTGCAAGGGTATATCTTTTTTTTTTTTTTTTTTTAGGCAGAGTGGACAGTGAGAGAGAGAGAGAGACAGAGAGAAAGGTCTTCCTTTGCCGTTGGTTCACCCTCCAATGGCCGCCGTGGCCAGTGTGCTGCAGCCGGTGCACCGCGCTGATCCAAAGGCAGGAGACAGGTGCTTCTCCTGGTCTCCCATGGGGTGCAGGGCCCAAACACTTGGGCCATCCTCCTCTGCACTCCCAGGCCATAGCAGAGGGCTGGCCTGGTAGAGGGGCAACTGGGACAGAATCTGGTGCCCCGACCAGGACTAGAACTCGGTGTGCCGGCGCCGCTAGGCGGAGAATTAGCCTATTGAGCCGCGGCGCTGGCCACAAGGGTATATCTTAAAAAGAATAATATTAATATCGTTACAAAGAAATCAACAGTCTTTACCATTTAGTAATTGTTTAGGAAAGATATTCAGGGCCGACACTGTGGCACAGCAGGTTAACGCCCTGGCCTGAAGTACCGGCACCCATATGGGATGCCAGGACTAGAACTGGCACCCATATGTGATGCTGGTGATTCAGGCCAGGGCTTTAACCCACTGTGCCACAGGATGTTATGGAACATCCCATATCAGATGCCGGTTCTACTCTGTGCTGCTCCTCTTCTAATCCAGCTCTCTGCTGTGGCCTGGGATAGCAGTGGAGGATGGCTTGAGTTCTTGGGTCCCTGCCCCCATGTGGGAGAACTGGAGGAAGCTCCAGGCTCCTGGCTTTGGATCAGTGCAGCTCAGCCCTTACAGCCATCTAGGGAGTGAACCAGCAGATGGAAGACCACTGTCTCTGACTCTCTATGTAACTCTTTCAAATAAATAAAATAAATCTTTTTAAAAAATCAAGATATTCATAGAGACATTGACTAAATTATTTAAGTGATTTGAGGAAGTTTCAAGGTTACCATGAGCAAGGTCTGTATAAGAACTTTTATATTACTGAAAAATTAAAGGTTGATACTACTTACATAACAGATACATGAAAACATAATAGTTAATACATTATAAGATTAAAAAACCTCTAACTAGAAATGATATCAATTGATCTAAGTGTGACTGAAGCCTTTTTTTTTTTTAAAAAAAAGGTGTATACATTAATTTGAAGCAAGAAGTGATAACTTAAAATGGAATGATGCCATAAAGAGGAATATAACATTAAAATAAAAAATTATAAAATGAAATTAGAGATACATTCATTTCAGTGTCATAAACATCCAGGTAGGTACTGAAGCAAAGAGCAGAGCATAGGGCAGAAGCAAAGAACTCAGTGGACAGGGGCAGTGAGGGATCCTGAGAGATTCAGAGACTGAGAAAGAAAAGAATGAAGGAGTGTAAACAACTGCAGGGATGATGAGAAACATAGTGTCAACAAAAATAAGAACATACAGCTAAACTTCACAGAAAAACGCTGGCAGGATGAATATGAAAACATGAAAAGGGACCTGGTGTGAATAGGTGGGAGAGGCCTCACCGACTTCTGCCCCAGGCTGGGGATGCAGGGTTCTTACAGGGGGCATCTTGCACAGGCTGGGATTCCTGATAATGACTGTGGATCAGGCTTGGCCAGTGGAACATCTCCTCCCGGTGGACACTGGCCACCTTGTCACCTGCTGCCTCCACCACCTTGTTTATGATTGTCACTTTGACGCCCCTGAGAGAGTCCCAAATCACCCTCCCAGATGCAAAATGAATCATGTGCAGTGGAATGTCACTGTCTGGGGCAGCGTTTTCCCAAGCTGAAGGTCAGAAAGTAAACTTCAGGATGACACACATCATCAGAAGTTCATCTCCTCGCAGCTGATGGCAATCATGTCTCACCAGTGGTTTCTTAATTTTCTTAGTCAAGACCTGATTCTGACTTTATTTTCCCTTTTCAAGCTGTGATCATTTTCTATGAAATTCTGTTATTGTCTTTATCAACCCTATTGACATCTTAGGGAAAGTAATTGTTATTCTTTTTTAATATTTATTTATTTCTTTTTATTTGAAAGGCAGAATAAAAGAGATAGAGATCTTTCATCTGCTGCTCATTCCCCAAGCTGCCAAAATGACTTGAGGATGGGCCAGACTGAAGCCAGGAGCCAGGAATTCCATCTTTGTGGAACTGCTGGGGCCCAAGAGCTTGGGTCATCCTCTGCTGCTTTCTCAGGCACCCACAAGGAAGCTGTTTTGAATGTGGGCAGCTGACACTCTGTGGGGATGCTGACTTACAAGAGGAAGGTTAAACTGCTGCACAGAATACTGGTCCTTCCTGAACTTGTTCTTGTATCATTCTTTTCCTATAGGGTTCTATTTCAAGCTTCACCCTGAAAGGACAATAGGCTTGACAAGATGTCACCCTCCCTCCCACCAGAGACCCCAGCACAGAAACCATGCTCGACCTCCCCCAGACTCCTACCAAAACAGCTGGCAGATAACCTGCATGGAGCAGCCTGTGAAACAGCTAAGAGGAAAGTTCCCAGTGGCTTCTGAAAAGCCTTCCTTCCCACCCGCAGCAAGTTCCTGCCTCAGCCAGATAAAATCCAGCCCCTCACGTGCCCTCACACAGTCTCTGTGAGAACAGACTCTCCTCCCTCTTTGCTACACTAAAAGCAACCTGTCTGTTGAGGTAGGTCTCTGTCTCCTTTTCCATCTCTTTTCTGGGGGTGATGAAAGGCCAGAACCCTGACATATTCAAACCTAACAACACTTATTTACATAATGGATTGTATAGGAAGGAATTTATTTACTTTTCTCTAAATGGTTACCTAGAAATACTATTATTAAGTATGAACATTTTGGGATGTGAGTTATCTTCTTATTTAATTATTTAGAGTGGTGCTGGTGCTGTGGCATGGGAGGTAACTTTGCTACATGTGGTGCCAGCATCCCACATGGGCACTGGTTCCAGTTCCCACTGTCCCACTCTCCATCCATCTCCTTGCTGGTGTGCCTGGGAAAGCAGGGGATGATGGCCCAAGGGCATGGACTCCTGCACCCATGTGGGAGGTGGGGAAGAAGCTCCAGGCTCTTGGCTTAGGCCTGCCACTGCCCAGGCCATTGTGGCCATTTGGGGAGTGAACCAGAAGGTTAACTGTCTGTATGTCCCTCACTCCCTCTGTAACGCTGCCTTAAAGTAACTTTTTAAAGTTATTTCTAGTCCATAACTCATTATTTTTGTACTCAGGAAACATGTGTCTAAATGAATTAAACTCTTGAATGCTGTGGACACTCACTCTGTGTTCACTGTAAGTTGCTGATATCGGGGCCTCATGTGTGCTGGGAAAAGAAACATGAGGCTTTTGAGTAACTGTGGGAATTGCTGTTCTATGCAGTTAGGTAAAGGTGTTAAATGTCTTCTTGAAACTGATACCGCTGCTGTTGTTCTGGGCTTTCTGTTAATGAGTAAGAATGCTGATAAGATTCCTCCCATGGTGTGGGATTTTTTCCACTATTTTTATAATTCTATTGATTTATACCACTTACCAAAATTTTATGAATCTGCATGTGCAAAGATAATATTGGTATCATAATCTCTGAAAAGTGGCAGCTAATATAGAATTAAAGAATGTGTAGGAAGAAATGGTCACTTTGGGATATGACTGTCAGTTTCATCCCATGTTTATACTTCATTCAATTGTGGTTTTTTTATTTATTTATTTGGAATTCAGAGTTAGAGAAAGGGAGATGCAGAGGCAAACAGAGAGAGTGGTGCTCCATTTGCTGGTTCACTCCCGAGAATGCCACAATGTCCAGGGCTGGGCCAGGCTGAAGTGAGGAGTCAGGAGCTTCAAGTAGGTCCCTCATGTGGATGCAGTGACCAAAAACATGGGCTATATTCTGCTGCTTTTCCCAGGCTCATTAGTAAGAACCTGGGTCTGAAGTGGAGCAGCCAAGACTCAAACTGGCACCCACGTAGGATGTGGGTTCTGCAGGCCACTACTTAACCTGCTACAGTATGACAACACCAGCCCATGTCTTCCCACTTTGTACATTCCTATATTCACATAGTCACCAAGATTCATTTTAATTCACAATGTGTGTGGTAGACAACAGCCAGTTGCCAGGGAAGGGGTGGGGACAATGCTCCTACTTGGTAAATACAAAAACACCCAAAGCAAAATTTGTACCTAATGCAAAACTGACAGGGGTGGGATTTTGGCCTGGCAGTGAAGATGACAACCAGGATGCAGACATCCTGTAACCAAGTGTCTAAGTCCAATCCCAGCTCTGGGGCTTCCAATAATGGGCTCAGCCTGATGCAAAAACCTTGAGGGAGCAGCTGATGACTCAACTAAATGGGTTTCTGCCTCCCATGTAGAAGACCTGGCTGCAGTGGGCATTTGCAGGAGAGGACAAGCAGGTAGTAGTATTTGTATGTCTGCCTATCTGGGTGTCTTTCTATCCTCACAAAAAAGGGAGGGGAGAAAAATTAAAACTTATAAAATATGCGGTTAAGAGAGAAACAGAAGCAATCAACAAAATTGTTTAAAGTACCTCCAAAAGTAATGATTTCTTCTTGTACGAGTTCTGAAACACATAGAGACAGAATCACCTGAATACTGCAAAAACCCTTCCAGAAACTAGAAACACAGGAAGCAATCAGTGTACCACGATTGAAGTCCATCAATGACACTGGTAGAAAAGAAGCTTGTAAAAGGCAAGTACTAACGTTTCTAGTTGTCAAATTCCAAGCAAGGTATGTGGAAGAAATATCCTGTAAGGGGCATTTTACTAGGATTCACCCATCTGTTTTGGAAGCACAATGCATTCTGAACCTGATTGAGCTGAATTCAGATTCTGCCACTTTGGGGATGATCAGACAAATGGCACCAGACACAATCAGGGAACCAATGTTATGGGTTTCAGGGGGCGGGGGAAGAAGTCCACAAATTTTCGCTGCATGCGACCTGGTTCACTCATCATCTGTCGCCTGAGGAAGATGAGGCAGAAACCACTGAAAAAAGAAACCGCCTTTGCCCCCCAAAAACCCCTAAAGCGCTGCCATGAAATGTTATATATTCAAAATGTATGGCAGTTTCTAAATGTCAATACAACACGTGTGCGTGTGTGTGACAGACTGAGTACTGCCCTGGAATGCAAACACTTAAGGCCCAGTGTCACTTGTGATTGTATTTGGAGATGAGGTCTTGATGGATGGAAAGTGATGGCTGCCGTGAGGGTGGGTTCTGGCCCCGTCAGAGTTCTTTTCCTCCCGAGAACACCAGAGTTCCTCTCTCTGCCCCAGGAGGGCACAGTGACAAGACAGCCACCAGCAGCCAGGAGGAGAGCGCTCCCACAGCCCAGCCACGCAGGCGCCCTCATCCCAGACGCCAGCCCCACAAGCCTGAGAAAATCAATGTCCGCTCTCTCAGCCTCCAAGTCCACCAGATTCTGTCAAAAAGGCAGCCTGGGGAGAACCCGTGGATGTGCAGGGGACGCATGCAGGAAATTTCAGTGATGGTTACCCTCACTGAGAGATTTCCTAAGAATATTGGCTCTTCGTTGGAAATACCTATGGATGGTTCATGGTTTTCACCAAGGACAGAGGTGGTCTCTGCAAACCTGGATGCAAACAAGCCTCCGGCGAGGCCTCAGCTGGGCCCTAACAGCAGCAACATACGGACCTGTACCTGACGTCACTGCTATGCGCCCTTAGGGCTGGAGTCTTCTGGGAGGCTCAGGGCCAGGAGCATCAGGCGGCAAACCGGAAGTGCAATTTCACCTAAGCCAGCAGTGGCCTCAGCACTCTCTCAGCAGCCACTGGTGACCCAGGACAGAGCCACAGCAACTACATGATTTCCTCTGCGAATTTAGGGGCCACACAGTAGCGACACCTGGGACCAACGGACATGAGCATGAGACCAGAAAGGCAAGGTAGTGGGGTCGTTGGTCCACAGCAGACACCACCGGGCACAGCCAGGGAGGGTTGAGGCGTGAGGGCAGCTGTGCTGGTCTGGATCTGGGTACTGGGTGCTGCCATCAACAATGGTATCCCATTGGCACTAGCTCAGTCCCTGCTGCTCCACTTCCGATCCAGCTCCCTGCTGATAATCTGCTTGGGAAAGCAGCAGAAGACAACCCATGTCCTTAGGCCCTACACCCACAAGGGATACCTGGAGCCACCTGGGGAGTGAACCATCAGATAGAAGATTCTCTCTCTCTGCCTCTGCCTCTCCTTCTCTGTAACTGACTTTCAGATAAAAAATAAATCTTAATAAGTACTTTTGAAAGAGAGGACGTGCAATCCTAAGACTTCAATTGAATTCAGAAATTCTAGGAAAAGATAATTTCCAACAGTACTGATCAAGAAGATGAAGCCATGATGTTGAGGAGGGCGGGGGGGGGGGTGCTGTCCGCAAGGCATCTGTGCCTGCTCAGTGGGAGCAACACTTCCTGAGGGGAAATGGAACTTTGGGAGGACAGACAGCCAAGACGGAATGAAACAGTTGTCTGTCCTGAAGGTCTGTGAGGCGTATTTCCAAATGTCATCCTGATAAAGAACAAATTTTAAAACCTCATGGAGAAAACAGTTTCTGTATGGGAAGAGCCTTCTTCTGGTGTTAGATAATGTGTTTGAACCACAGAAAACTGCAGAGAGGGGAAATGAGAGCTCTTGAGGATTGCAGAACCTTTGGACAGGCGAGGTGGAATTCCTTAGCCTTGGGACCAAAGATTGGTGCAAAGGTTCAAGCTACAGTCACCAGTGTGCTGTCCTTGGGGACTGGAACTGAACAATGAGGTAAGACAGAGAAATGAAGTTGTGGAAGATAAAACAGAGAAAAAAATGACGTTGGTTTAAAGATTTAGCAAAGTAAATGTACTGTAAGCCAATGTACCATGGAGCAATGGGAAAGGATCAGGCCCCTGCTGATGAGTATTTAAATGTAGAGACACTTCTCACTGACATCCCAATGGATTGGAACCAAACAGCAAATACATCAGTGTAAGAAGGGGAGGGGATCATTATGGATGGATTTACGCAGATGCCCGAGGTACCCCTGCATTGTACTCAATATTAAGGATTAAATTGCCAACAGAGTCCCATCCTCTTAATCAGCTCTATTTTCACAGCACTTTTCACAGACACAACTATCTTTCCTGCCTCACAGACATTCTTGAGTGCTCTTTGTACTTCACTTTATCTTTAGGTCGCTGGGAAACATCCAACCTCTAGGTGAGTCCCTGAAATATTCAAGGTAGGTTGTATTTATTTAATGGATATGGGAAATCGTTATGAACAGCACAGTTTAACAGAAATATAAGGCAAGCCCAAATGTGACTCTGTATTTCTAGTAACTCCATTCAAAAGGACAAAAGCAAGCAGATAAAATTAGCTTCATGATATACAACACATTCATTTAACCCAGAATGTTACTTCACTGTGTAATCTATGTGAAGATGAATACATTTTGATTCACATTAGAATTCCAAAATGTGAATGTTTTAAAATGGGCTGCATAGTTCAACTCAAACTAGCCCCATTTCCAGTGCATCATGGCCCTGTGGCTTCTTCTCCTCATATAAAACTTGATGGAGACTCCTCTGTTGAAGATGATGTCAGATCAGCCACTGAAAGCTCGTGGACAAAAGGTCATTCTCATATTTGAAAGGAAGGAAGTCAGTTTGAGAATAATTTTGTTATGTTTCATCAGGAAAAAGGGGCAAAATGTTGGGTAGCATGATGCTAAAATTCCACCAATCCCCTCCAATCTTGAGTTTTTCTCAGATGCATAATATCCATAAAGCGTCAAGCAGTTGTTTGACAAATAAAAGAACACAAAGCAAAATACCATCCAAAGGATTGTGTAGGTGGCTTTGTTTTCTGGAGACGTCTTGGAAAAGTGGCTGAGGTTGTGAAAGTGCTTGGCCCTCCTGCGGTGTCTGTAGAGGATCCACACCTTGTAGAGGCTGGACAAGATCATAAATGACAGGAACACTACATCATAAATAACCAAGATACTTATGAATGAAATTGATTCATGTTCTGTGAGCTTCGTGGATTGACAATATGCATTAACATATCCCTGACCAACCACAGTGAAATTCAATCTGGCTTTTATACGATTAAATATTTTGGCAAGCATCAGCATGTTGAAGACCCAAAAAAAAAGAAAAGAGGGGCAAATCCACTTGGAGAGTTTAGATTTCAGCCATGCCCATTTAGAATGACTGGGACTGACAGTGATGGCCTGAAATACACTTAGGAGAAATGTAGTACCTATGGAAAGACCTCGAATCACTCTGGATACGTACAGAAATGTTTGACAACCAATATCGTCAAAGAAATTTTTGACTCCAAAGGATGACATGAGTTCTGGTATTGACCGAATCATAATGGTTGAAATATTGACCACTGTCAGGTGCATGAAAATTGAATCGATGGGCTTCTTCAGATGAGGCTCGATTAGGAAGGTATATATGTGTGTCATGAAGAGCAATGAGTTTGCCATGACACCAATACAAATCTGACATATTAGAAAAAAGATATAAATCACATCACTAGGTAACATAGTCACATGATGTTTTAGATGTTTTAATTAAGTTCAATTGGCATCCTCAGAAAATTAGATTGTTTTATGAAATTTAAAAAATGCAGTCTGTAGAAGAATATGAGGACTAACAGCTCTGTTTGGGAGCAGGTGGTGAAGTGTTCAAATCTATATTTCAGGCCCAACTCTGCTACTTCCAGGGACTGGACTTCAGGCCCCCTGTGAACATCAGAGTACAGTTACATGATAAGAAGAAGGTGGACATCAAATGCTCACTTCCTACATCCTCATCTATGGCATGAGGATGTGTTGCCCTCCGGGAATTAAGAATTTGTATGTGATATTTTCTTCAGAGTACTACTGTACTTGTAATCTCTTCACCTATGTCTCACTTCTCTGGAGAATATTCTACTTCTAATGAATGAAGACCAGTGTGTGTGTTTGAACTGCTTTTTTAGAATTTACACAGCAGACACAATTCTTTCCAACAAGGAATATTTTTAACAAATTCAGAGTAAACACTCATATTTTACCAGTCAAAAAGAGTTATTAATTTCTAAAATTACAAAATGCAATACCAGGTTTCCAAGTGGGGATTTTGCCTCTCCTCATTTAACTACAGTATTTGGAGACATTTTTGTTCTCAAATATGTGGCAGAGCTCCTGAGACACAGTTGGTAGAGGCTGGGAATGCAACTAAATTTCCCACAATGCACAGGACAGCCCTCAAACATTCTGGCCCCAAGAGGCAGACACATACATGGTTGATGAATGCAGTCTAACAAAGCAATCCTGTGTCTTTCTCCCTACACCACATCTAAAACTTTAGCTCAACATTTTTTGTGCATTGTCATGCAACAGAAACAGTTGGTTCACAAACAGAACAGGAAGAGTATGACAGTCATTGAGGCTGACTTGGTGCTTCATCTCCGTTTATTGGACTAAGGAGTTTTGCTTATGTCATTCCCTCAGAGACCATGTCTTTGTCATGTAAGGCATCACCTTCCTTCCTACAGAGATTGTTAGTGAATTACATACATGTCTCCTCCAGACTGACCACATTCATAGAGTATCTGAACTTCCTTAGCTCCATTCCCAGATTCACAACAACTGTCATCTGGCATCAACTCTACTACAGTGCTGACTTCTAATCATCTAACAGAGGAAAGAAATCCTATGTGCAACAAACCATAAAGAGTACTTGTCTTCCGTTCTCCTATTCATGCCTTCAAATTTCTTTATAATTTAGTACTACATTAGATGGAATAACTTGAAATTGTGTTACCTAATATGGTCAACAATGTTAACTACTCTTAATTCTAAAAAGTATCCTATATTTGCCAGTGCTTTGGGATAGCCAGTGAGAGCTGCTGCCTGCAATGCCACATCTCATGTGGGCACCTGTTCGAGACCTGGCTTCTCCACTTCCAATCCAGCTCTCTGCAATGGCCTAGGAAAGCAGCAGAAGATGGCCCAAGTCCTTGGGCCCCTGCACCAGCATGGAAAGACCTGGAGGAAGCATCTGGTCCTGGCTTGGAATTGGCACAGCACCAGCCATTGCGGCCAACTGCATAGTGAACCAGTGGATGGAAGACCTCTGGCTCTGCCTCTCCTTCTCTCTCTGTGTAACTCTGACTTAAAAATAAATGAATAAATCTTTTTAAAAAATATCCTCGGGAGTGCATTAAGAGGAATGGAAAGAATCTGGGATTCCCAAAATCTACATCAAAGTGCCCAGGTTAGAATCCTGATACTTCCTCTAAATCAATCTTCCTGGAAATGCACATCCTAGGAGCAGCACATGATGGTTTGAGGGAATCAGCACGTGACACTCATGTGGAAGGTGTAGGTGAACTCCTGCTTCCTGACCATGGCCGGCTCTGACTGTTTCAGGAACACAGGGCGGGAACCCCTGGGTCACTTTGCACTCACTCGCTTCCATGCTCTTTCTCCCTTTCTCCCTCCCAATCTTGTCTGCCTTTCATAACATAAATATTCAAATGCAGTTTTTAAAGCATCCTGTCTTTAATGTACAGGATGACAGTTTCTAGTTCACCTTCAGGCTCTTTGACCATTCATTCCTTGTCCAGTATCACAAGGATGGCCTGTCACTAGCTCATTCTTCAGTCAAATTCTCTGCTCACTCCACATACCTGCTGTTCACAATTTAAAGTCTCTCCGAATTGTATCATCGAGTTGAACTTGAAGTCAGAACCATAGAAACAAAGCAGGAAAATGAATAATTCATACTGTTAAAATATCCATATATTGAGAGTGATCTACAGATTCAAGGCAATCCCTATCTAAATTCCAATGGCATTCTTCACAGACACTAAAAAAATCTGTTCTAAATTTCGTATGGTGCACAAGACACTGGAATAGACAAACCCAAGCTGGATCATCAGATGTCCTGACATCAAACTATATCAGAGACTTATACTCACCTAAACAGCAAGGAACCAACCTAAGAAGAGACCCACTGATGCTGATGCTGTGATGCAGCCCCAGGCTACAGTACTGGCATCCCAGATGCTGGTTCAAGTCCTGGATGCACCACTTCTGATCCAATTCCTGCTAATATACCTGGGAAAGCAGCAGAAGATGGCACAAGTCCTTGGTACCCTGCACCCACATGAGAGACCTGGAAGAAGCTCCTGGCATCAGATTGGCTCAGCTCTGGCTATTGCAGCCATTTGGGGAGTGAACCAACAGAGGGAAGACTTCTCCCTTCCTCTTTATCTCTTGCTCCCTTTCTCTCTCTCTCTGTTTCAGTAACTCTGCCTTTCAAATAAATAAATAAATCTTTTTAAAAAAAGATTCTGTCTCATTCTCTTTCAAATAAATAAAAATAAATCTTTATAATAAAGAGGTATTGTAATATCTGGGAAATGGTATTTGGTTATGACTCTGAAATCACCAACAAGAAAATAGAAAATATATAAGCCAGACTACACCAAAATAGAAAATTTTGCACAGAAAAGGAAATAATCAACATGAAAAGTCTGCCCATAGACTAGGAGAAAATATGTGCAAACTATGTAATGACTAGGGCAAAGGGTCAGAATAGATGTTGTACTAAAGAATATATACAAAGGGCCAGCACGAATTTGAAAAGACACTCAATACCTCTAGTCATCAGGATATAACAAATAAAACACAAAGGGACACCACCTCATAGTGATGGATGGTCAGTATCCATGACACAAGAGATGGAGAGCAGTGTTTAGGGTATGAATAAAAAGGAAATCTTTGGGGCCAAAACTGTGGCATAGAGGGTAAAGCCACTGCCTGTTGTTCCACCATTCCATATGGATGCTAGTTTGAGTCCCGGCTGCTCCACTCCTGATCTAGCTCTCTGCTATGGCCTGAGTAAGGAGTAAAAGATGGCCCACGTCCTTGGGCTCCTGCACTCACATGGGAAACCCAGAAGAGGCGCCTGGCTCTTGGCTTCGAATCGGCAGAGCTCCAGCAGTTGTAGCCATTTTTGGAGTAAGTCAGCCAATGGAAGACCTCCCCCCACCTCTCTCCCTTCTTCCCTCCCTCTCTCCCTCTCTCTGCCTCTGCCTTTGTAACTCCATGTTTCAAAACCAATAAATCTTTTTTTTAAAAAAGGAACTCTTGTATACTCTTGGAAATAAAACGTAATGATCCTTATAGGAACATGCATGGGGTTTCCTCACAAAATGAAAACTGGAGTCCAAGAATTTGATAAATATTGACTAGAAGTGAAATTAATATATCAAAGATACATATGCACTCCTATGTTCAGTGCAGCATTATTCATAGAAGCCAGGATATCAGCACAGACTTAGGATCCATCAACAGGTGAGGAGGTGAAAAATGTGCACACAAAGGGATTTTTATTCATCCATAAAAAGGGAAAAAATACAGCCATTCATGACAACATGGAGGGACCTAGAGGATGTTATGTTAGGTAAAAGAGTCAAAGCACAGAAAGACAAAGACTGTATGACCTGGCATATAAAATACCACAGTTAGCAAAATAAAGGAGATGGTGATTACCAGGAACTGGGAGACGGGGGTGACAGATGGAGAGGTGTTAGTAACAGTGTACAGTTCTCAGATGAATAAATTCTAGCTAGCTAAAGTAACAAGGGCTGACTATAGTTGCTAATACTGTATTGTAAAATTGTATTTTGCTAACAACATAGATCTTACAAGATGTAACCATGCACACCAAGGTTTCTGTGTAAGTTGAGTGCTACATTAATTAACTTAGAGGCAGAACTCATTACAGAGTGTATCAAATCATCCCAATATATTAGCTAAAAATACAAGCTTTTATTTGTGAATTATACCTCCATAAAGCTTAAAAGTCAATAAAAATGGGGTAAATCCACCAAGAAAAATGCAGAGAATTTTAGAGTCAAAAATATCATATCCCAGCTCTGTGCTGCCCATGGCATTCACATTGTATATACAAACAACATACAATCAAAAAGTGACTGAACAGGACATGATATATGGGGCCAATATTAATCAGTAGACATTGGAGTGTCCATATAAAAATGAGATGAACTGAACATCAAGACAAAGACAATGGGGCCAGCGCTCTGGCGTAGCGGGTAAGTGCTGCCTGCCAGCATTCTGTATGGGTGCTTCTTGAGTCCCAACTGCTCCACTTCAAATCCAACTCTCTGGTATGGCCCTGGAAGGGGTAGAAGAGGGCCCAAGTCCTTGGGCCCTTGCACCCACATGGGAGACACGGAAGATGCTGCTGGCTCCTGGTTTCAGATCAGCACAGCTCCAGCCATTGCAGCCAATTGGGGAGTGAACCAGCAGATAGAAGACCTCTCTCTCTCTCTCTCTCTCTCTCTCTTTCTGTGCCTCTCCTTCTCTCTGTGTAACTCTGACTTTCAAATAAATAAATCTTTCAAAATAAGACAAAGAAAATATCTTCTGAAATAATTGAAATTAAGAAGAAAGTTTCAAAATAAAGAAAAGGAAAATGTAAAAACTACCAAACAAGTAACAGAAAGCAGGTGCATGCAGAATAACATTGGACAAATCCAACATTTAGGGAAAAGAATAACTGGATATAATGAAATCCACCATGGTAAAAATAAATTTGTAAATTTGTAAATACTAAACAACAGCAGCATTACTTAATGTAAAAACACAAGAAATGATTAAAAAAAAAAAAACAGGAAAATCTGCCATTGTAGTAGGAGATTTAACCAAAGTCCTTCAGTAACCATGGAACCAGCAGACAGAAGGCCAGGCTACAAAAAACTCAAGCACATGAATTATTTTGCTGCACCTAATGCCTTGAAGAACATACAAGTCACTCTCAAATGCCCGAATCCCGTTCACGCTATCACGTGCACCATGCAATCTATTCAGCCATACAGCAAACACTGAAGTGAATGAGAGCAAGCCTGAAGAATTGAACTTAACTGAACAGGTATCTTACACAATTGTGCTGAATTACAAAAAGAACATTTTAATTCCTAACACTGATTTCTCACTATGTTCATAAGAAAAGCATTGCATAGTAAGAACAAAGTGGAAAAAACTATTGTGAAATGCACTGTGGAAACATAAAGTCAAAATGCCATTTTTCTAAAGATGAACAAAATGATTCACCCTCTAGAGAGATGGCTGCCTTCCTAAAGAGAAGACACCAATAATATCAGACTTCAAATGTTGAAAATACAACAACTAAGAACTTGTATTTTCTAAAGATGATATCGTGATTATGCTAATAAACTTGATGGTTGAGACTGAGGGACAAATTTTCAGAAAATTTAACTCACCATAAAAACACAAGAACTGTAGAAAGTCACAATGGTGCAAAGCTTCCCCGGATGAAATTGAGCAGCAGGAAAAAATCATTCCATGAGGAATTCCAGAGAATGCTTCAATGGTGTGGGAAAAAAATATCTATAAACACTTCCTAGGGAGAAAGAGAGAGCATTTTGTCAATCACAGTGCGGGAAAACCAAATAAACCTGGTGTGAAAAGTATGATGCTGAGGCCATCTCGTTCAGGAAGCAAATGAGAAGCAGTCCCACAATTTATAGAATTGATCCAGGGCTCTCCAAAAGGAGTCTAGCAATGACCAAGAGAATGACCACTAGAAATGTTTAAGATTGATGTCACACGGCAGAAAGAAAGGTTTAACACTACACGGTAAAATATCTATATATCAACATTACCAAATAATGGTTCAACACTGAAATTTTTTTTTGTTGAGAATGGATATAAATGAAACATCTGCTATCTCCATGTGTCTTCCTCCTGCCTTTAGAGAGGTCTATTTTAAGAAACAATAAACTTAATTACAAAGAAATAACAGATTTTATCTCAGCTGTTATATGTTTGAAGACAGTAATTCATAGAATCATTTGCAAAATTACCTCATCAATTTGAGAAATTCTCTTTTTTTTAAAGATTTATGTTCCTTATTTGAAAGGTAGAGTTTGAGAAAGAGAGTGACAGAGAGAGGCAGAGAGAGAGAGGTCTTCCATCAGCTGGCTACCTCCCTAAATGGCTCAACAGCTGGGCTTTGCCAGTCTAAAGCCATGAGCCAGGAGCTCCACCCAAGTCTCCTACCCCAGCACAAGGTTTGGCACAGGGACCCAAGTACTTGGATCATCTTCTGCACCAACAGGGAGCCGGACCAGGAGGGGAGCAGCAAAGACTCAAACCAGTGCCCCTATGCGATGCACAACCCATGCCTGCTCTGATCTGAAGAATTTTAGGTTGCTGAGAGCAAAGTCAGTATAAAAAGCATTTAAAAAAAAGAAAATCCTATAATTGATACTGTTCAACACGAACATGATGAACATCAGCACTCACAGATGATAAAACATGTAAAACCTCTAATTGGAAATGATGACAAGTTTATCTAATTATGAATCCCTTTAAAATTAAAATGTGGATCCATTCACTTGATAGGGAAGTAACAAAATGCAATGACGCTGTAAACAACAGGACTTAACAGAATGGGAAGTAACAAGATGGAATTCCAGGTGCAGAACTTGAAATGTAATAAGGACCACTGAGGTGTTCAGAGGAAAGAGGAGCGCACAGCAGAAAAGCAAAGAACACTCGGTGCACACAGGACAGCGAGCGATCTGGAGAGCTTCAGAGACCCTCGGTGTAAAGAAGGAAGTGGTGAAAACAAATAGAGCGATGGACAGAGAAACAACACGGTACAGGAAAACAGTGTTAGCAGGACACATCTGAAAAAACAAAAACCCAGAGACCCTGGAACACACACAGAACAGGGAGCGGGCAGGGGGAGAGGCCTCGCCGCCCTCCCGCCCCAGGCTGGGGGTGCAGGGTCCTTACCGGGGGCGTCCTGCACAGGCTGGGGCTGCCTGGCACTGACTGTGGATCAGGCCCGGGCCGGCAGGACGTCTCCTCCCGGTGGACACCGGTCACCTTGTCACTGCTGCCTCCGCCGCCTTGTTTATTGTCGTCACTTTGACGCCCCCGGGAGAGCCCCAAATCGCCCTCCCAGATGCACAATGAGTCTCCTGGGGGGGCGCACGGGGTTTCCTCAGGGGCAGCACGAGTTCGGCGCTTGGGGCTGCGTTTTCCCCAGCTGAGCAGCGTCAGAAAGTAAACTTCAGGACGACACACGTCATCAGAAGTTCGTCTCCCACAGCTGGTTGCATCTCCTGAGCCCTCCACATGGCCCGGCCCTGAGCGGACCCCAGAGCTCACACTCCCGTCGGCACAGCCCCCCGTGTCACCTCCTATGGGAGCTGGGAGTTACACCTCGCTCCTAGTCCCACACTGCACAGCGTGCGCGGGACAGGAAGTTGTAACCTCTTTGTGTCCCACAATGCACAGCGCGCACTACAGGGCGTTGTAACTTCCTTTAGTCCCTCAATGCACAGAGTACTCCGTGTTCCGCAATGCACAGTGCACGTGGTTCAGGGAGTTGTGACTGCTCGTGTCCCACAGTGCACAGCGGGCACAGAGCAGGGGGCTGGGCTGTAAGCACCGACACAGGAAGCTCCCAGCGTGAGCCGCACATGGTTTGATGCAGAGCGGTTTTCTCCTTTTAAAATTGTTTCCCACCCTGTAAAGATTGGAACTGCTGCAATTTAAACTGTTGAACACTTCCTACACACTAAGGGCTACGAACTGAGTAACAGGGCCAGTGCTGTGGTGTAGTAGGCCAAGCCTCTATCTGCTGTGCTGGCATCCCATATGGGCGCTGGTTCTAGACCCGGCTGCTCCACCTCCGACTCAACTCTCTGCTGTGGCCTGGGAAAGCAGTGGAAGATGACCTAAGTTCTTGGGCCCCTGCACCCAATAGGATACCTGAGCAAGCTCCTGGCTCTTGGCTTCAGCTTCGTGCAGCTCCAGCAGCTGTGGCCACTGTGGGAGTGACTCAGCAGATGGAAGACCTCTCTCTCTGCCTCTTAATTAAATCAGTACATTTTTTAAAAATAAAATAAGCAAATACCCACAGAACCTGTGTCCACACACACAGATGATTAGTAGCTCACTGTCAGAAGCTGAACACATTAAAACAAGTGCTCCTGAAACTAATAACCTCCTCCAATCTCCCA